TATAAATTGGAGATCCATCTTCATCATTCATCATTCAATTTCCTCATCTCCAAAAATTCTCTCCATCTATTTTACTTTCTGATCAACAATGGTTGCCTAAGTCCCTCACCAGGGAGTGCTACGACAAATCAGGAGCTTGCTGAGTAGCATCAACAATCAACAGAATATTATTCCTTCTACTCTTGCTCTTCATTTGAGATAGGGAAGTAGCAAGTAGATTAGGAAGTTGTTAATTTTTGGATGATATATTGGTTATGAACTTAAACATTTATCGATGTTTTTATTTTGATTTCAGGCTTTAACTTTATGCTTTTGTGTTGCTACACTTCTAGATAATTTTAGAAATATTATTATCTTTATGTAGATATTATTAAAGGTATTTAGAAATGAAAACCTCTAATAGTTCATATTATGTGTCCAAGTGGGTTGAAGTTTTAGCATTACCTTCAAGTGATGCTAAAGATGTTTTGAGATTCCTGCACAATAATATTTTCATACGTTTTGGAACACCTAAAGCATTCATCAGTGCCGAGGGCTCTCAATTTTTTAGTAGGCAAGTTTCCAAAGCCTTGCAGCTCTATGGAGTTAAACATCGTATTGCCACAGCATACCACCCTCAAAAAAATGGTTAAGTCGAGGTTTTAAACCATGAGATAAATCAAATTTTAGAGAATTTCGTGAATCCTTCAAGGAAAGATTGGTCTTTATGACTTGATGAAACTTTATGGGCTTATATGACAGCTTACAAAACCCCTTTGGGTATGTCTCGTTATCGCCTTGTTTAGAAAAAGCTTGTCATTTACCTATGGAGTTAAAGCATAAAGCTATGTGGGCTTTGAAGAGGCTGAACTTTGACCTTGATGTTGAATATTAAACATTAATGAATTAGAAGAGCTTCGAAATGATGCATACGAGAATGCCCAGATTTACAAATACATTACAAGAAATGGCACGATAAACACATTTTGCCGTAACAGTTTCATGTTGGACAACATGTGTTGTTATTCAACTCTCGTCTAAAGCTGTTTCTTGGGAAGCTTCAATCTCGTTGGTCTGGTCCATTTGAAATCCTTGAAGTTTTTCATCATGGTGCAATGCTATTAAAGAATTTGGAGGATGGAAGTACATTCAAATTTAATGGGTTGAAGTATTATTACCAACAATCAATCTCTCACATTACTTCCATTACACTAAGTGAACCTCCTACTCTTTAATCTCTTACTGTTTTTAATAATTAAACATTGACATTATTTTAGCTTTTCTTTTATCAACATTTTAATTTCTTTAATCTCTTCAGTACATGATCTTGCTACAACCCTAATCATTGTTTCCCTCCTTATCGTATTCCCGATGCTATTATGGTGCAAGCCATGTCAACATCAACCACTCCCAAATATAAGAGCTCGATAAAGGCAAAAACGATAGCCAAGCGTCTCCCTCCTACCATGATCAACCCTCGCAAGAGCTTGAGAAAGCCCACTTAGGGGAGTTTCATTTTCCCCTCTCATGTTAATTATTTTTTTTACGTTGAGTTGTGCATGCATTGAGGACAATGCATCCCTTAGGTTTGGAAGTGTGTTGTTCATTTGTTTGTCTATTTGTGTTTCATTTATGTTGTTTGAATGTTGTGACATTTAGGATAGTGAACATTAATGCGTGTTGTTTAGCATTGTGTTTAGCATTGTTTACATGAATTTAGCATTTTGTTTGCAACATTTAGGATTTGCATTGGTAATACTACATGTTTAATATTAGAAAATCAAGGAAGATTTTAAATAGAATTTTGATGATGCCCGATGATGAAAAAGTTAAACTTTGAAATGTTATGGGATTTCTTTAGAAACTTGTTAGGATTATGATCCATAGAAGTTTTTTACACTTTAGGTGTATTTTCTCAATACTTAGAGAATTTAGAAATTTTTGAACCCAAAACTCACATCCTTATTAGATGTTATGGCAATCTTACAACTAGAGGTGCCTAAAATTGGCTCTAGTAAAAAAATCCAATCAGCTAAATGTGCATGTAACTAGCTCTAGTAATGTACATGGAAATAATAAAGGATTCAAATAAGTTGGAGGTACCTAAAACTAGCTCCAACATTAGTTTTAAATAAGTTGATTGCTATAGCATTGAAAATCATTAATTGAGTAGTTTCAAGATTTTCTAAATTAGCTAATTATTGATTGAATACACCTAGCCTGCAGACTTGCACTCTATGGATTATGATTTTAATAAGTTAATATTGTATTTCCTAATTAGAGTTCATATGGATGTTGTATGTACTATTACATAAATGAACTAAGGGTTGAAAAAGGAAATTAAATTCTAATTTGGTTTTATGATATTATTTTGTGGTATTATTGTTATATTAATTGTATTTCATGCATAGTGTTGCTTGAGGACAAGAAAATACTCAGGTTGGGGGGTGTGATAACTGTCCAAAAGAGTTATCATTTGAGTTCCTTATATCTAGTTTTAGATTGAAATTTAGCAATGTTAAAAGCATATTAAGATCATTTTATATAGATATTAATGCATTTTGCATCATGATAGATAAGTAAGGAATTTGGGAAAAAGTTGTTATTTATTGTTGAAAATTATTACACTCATATTGTAGCATTGCTTAAGCTGTAAGGGATGTTGAGTGACGCTACAACAACTGATGAGTCACCAGGCGATTATGGGAACCTTCTAGAATAGGACAATTAGTGATGACTGATATTATCTTAAATGTAGAAGATTTCTATTAATTGAATGAGGAATTCTCTAGCCTATAAATTAGAGAGTTATCTTCATCAATCATCATTCAATTTCCTCATCTCCAAAAATTCTCTCTATCTATTTTATTTTTCGATCAACCATGGTTACCTATGTCTATCGCCAATGAGTGATACAGTAGCTCGGGAGTTTACTGAGTAGCATCAGCAGTCAAGAGGATCTTCTTCCTTCTACTCTTTCACTTCATTTGAGATAGGGAAGTAGCAAGTAGATTAAGAAGTTGTTAATTTTTGGATGATATATTGGTTATGAACTTAAATGTTTTGTGGATGTTTTTTATTTTGATTTCATGTTTTGACTTTATGCTTATGTGCTGCTACACTTCCAAGATAATTTTAGAAATATTATTATCTTTATGTATGGATTGTTGAAGTTATTTTGAAATGAAAACCCTTGATAGTTCATACTACTTTCGTTCAACATTGGTTTTGATGAAAACAATCTTGCATGCTAAGATACATGCTGCCAATTATCTAGCATAGTTAATTGTTTGATTACTTGAATTAATGACGATTGATTCTTGTTGGTTAAATGTGATTAATCTTTTTTGGATACATAAGAATAGGGTTTATTGCATAATCATAATAAAAGCAGCTAATTATCATCTTAATTCATTCGATCTTTGACTTAAAGCTTCCCTGTTTGTTGTAGCATTTCCTGATATTCTCATTCTGATTTCTAACTTTTATTCTTATTTCTTAGTTTTTACATCAACATATATCTTATGATTTCTTTATACAACTCTTTTGTAATACATTAGCTTTATGTGGGTTCAACATTTGAAGCTTAACAACTTCCACTTTATTACTCTGATATATAGTGTATGCTTGCACTTTGTTATAGCATTATTATCATTATCAATCTACTAACTACAATGTTACTATGGTAGGTTGAACTTCTCACACTCCAAGTTTCTTAAAAATGAAGGCCTGAGATTGATACTTGTGCCCAAGTTACACAATGCTTTCTTAAAATACTGATTATTGATAGAGCTAGGTATGGTAAAGCTTTATAGGTCTTTCGTATTATGAGGTAATTTCTTTCTTAACATTGTAGTACACCCCTCAATGAGTGAAACTATTTCAAAACCCCCCAACCTTATTTTCTTTGAAAGAATTTATTTCATAAGTTTTTAAATAGTTGGACATCTTCTCAAAAGCTTCCACCAGTGAGATATTGATGTGAAGTTGATTGAGAAAATTCACGGACCTTCTAAATTAATGTTCTTGACTTAGGTTTTGGAGATGTTGTGGAAGTTTTGAAGGTGGAGGAATTTCAAAATATGATTGTTTTTGTTTTGCTGTGATATTCTGATTCCATCATGGCATTTCCTTGTCCAGCTTCCTTCATAACATGATTCTTCTTCGTCTCACTCAGCATATTGCATTGAACTAACTCTTAACCATTTGATTTTGTAGTTGTATTCTTATCAACTTCCTCTAACTAGGTATCGCTTCTCAGAGTGATATCCTTGCAATGCTCATTCCCATGTCGAACATTCTTAGTGTTGCTCGGCAAGGTTCCATGTGATTTAGAATTCAAAGAATCTGACCCACTTAATTCTCTAGAGATCTCAAGGATGCAGTCTGACTATGGATTAAAACATCATTTTTGGCCATACATTCCTTCAACAAAGCTTCCACAGTTGAAGAAAGAGACTATGCTCAATTCTACTGTGGTCTCTGCTGTGACAAATTTTGATTGAAGATAGGTGAACCATGCATAACGTTTGCTCTAGTATCATTAAAATTTTGGCACCTTGATTTCCCACCTAAAGTTTAGGTATTGCTTCCAACCAGCGTTATAAGTATTATAGTAAGGATTGTTGTTCCAGTTGTAATTCCCCATATGGTTTAATGATGACATGTTTGATGAAATTCCTTAAACACGTGATCATCTCTACAATAGACACATGACAAAGCAGTTGATATTCTCTCCTTTACCTTACTTAATTCTGCATGTTTTAATCATGTTCGCTACAGACGATACATGGGAAAAAGGGGGGGTAACGACATCAAGCTCAATGGCTATAGGTGTTCTTATTCTTGTTCCTATATGAGTGACCGAATATTAATAGTCATTATTAGTAATCTATTTTAGTATATCATAAGCCTCATTAAAAGACTTGTCCAACCGAGTTCCATTTGCCAAGGCATCAGCTGTCATCCTCGTATTTTCTTTCAACCCATTATAAAATATCTCCATTTAAGTCCAGTATTGAAAGTTATGCATAGGTCATTTTCAAAGCAAATCTTTGTACCATTCTCATACCTCGTATGTGGTTTCTTCATTTTACTACCTGAAAGATGTTATGTCATTTCTTAGTCTAGCATTCATGTATGGTAGATTATAATTGAGGAAAAATCTCTAACAGAGATCATTCCAGGATATGAATGATCTTGACAATAAGGCATTGAGCTATGCTCTAGCTCTATCTCATAATAAGGAAACATTTTAATCTTAAGGTGTCTTCACGAGCACATTATTCTTGAAATGAATCACAAACTTCCAAAAATAATCTTGTATGTAATATGAGATCTTCAACTGGCACACCACCGAATTGATCCATAGTCTAGAGCATTTGAAACATCCATGGCTTCAACTGAAATTGCATAGCTTGCATCTAAGGTCTAACAATGCCAAGATTTAAATCATCCAAGATAGGAACCACATGCCGATGGATTGGCCTATCTCGACCATCATGCCTGACAACAACATGAAAATTTTTATTCTGAACAACCTGATTTTCTTGCTTATTCAAAACATACTAATCATCATCCATATAATCCATGTTGTGTAGTCCTCTCCTCCTTCTCCGAATAGTTCGTCTTATTTCCCGTCAAAAGGATAAAGATTTTCAATAAGAATTCTTCTTTGCATTCAATAGTTGGTGAACCTTTTGATTGTAGTGAAGTTCCATCTGATTCCTTTGTTGGCTGTCAAGAGAAAGATCCTGCAAGTAAATATATTCCTACTAACATTATCTGTACTGCTCCTAATGAAGTTCCGTCAGACTCAAATGTTGGCTGTCATGATAAAGTTCCTGCAATTCCTACTGACTCCATTCCTCCATCTAAAGAGGGAACATCGGTTCCTAAGAAAGTTAGAAGAAGACCATCTAAGGATAAAGCCTCTTTTGCAGGCTCAAGCAATAGATTTGAAATCCTTAACTCGGTTGAAGATACTCCTCAACCCTCGATGTGCCTCAAAGATCAAGTCGACATGCTTCCAAGGGTGTAGCCGAACTGGTAAAAGAACTCAAGCAGAAAAAGAAGAACAAATTGGATAAAGTCAAAAGTTCTGCAGTAGGGGGTGCAAGTTCCTCCATAGGCTCTCCTTCTCAATGATTATCAGTTTTTGGTACACTAGAGGATTCAATAATCCTCTAAAACAAGACAAGGTACTTCTTAGAGCCTCTCAGAATAAAGTTGATATTTTATGTTTGTTAGAAACTAAGTTAAAGAAGAGAAATCCAGTAATATTTTTAATACTAAACTTGTTTGTTGGAATGTTAGTACAAACTATGGATTTGCTGTTAATAGGAGAGTTTGGATTATATGGAAGAAAAATATTGAGTTATCTGTTATACAAACTTCTGATCATATCATAACTATCAAAGGATTATTACTAGGAACTCCATTTGTTATTTCTGCTGTCTATGGAAGCAATGACAACATCATTTGAAGACAGCTGTGGCATCAGCTACAAAATCTGGAAAGAAATATCGGTCATCTTCCTTGGATACTAGGTGGTGACTTCAACATCACTTTGCACCCTTATGAATCTTCAGACCACGAACTGCTCTGCCCTTCCTCCTCCCCGGAAATGAAAGAATTCCAGGAAGTCTCCCAAGATCTTAACCTCCATGATCACCCCTTCTTTGGACCACTTTTCACATGGAGCAATAAGCAATCTGGTTCATATCTTTTTAGGAAGCTTGATAGGGTTCTTATTAACTCAAATTAGGCTACAACTTTTCATAACTCTGCTATTGAATTCTTAGCTCCAGGAGTTTCAGACCATTGTATGGCTATTGTATGGCTATCTAAAGAAGCTCCAATCAACAACCCCAAACCTTTTAAATTCTTTAATTTTTGGACACTTTATCCCAATTTCCTAAGAATTATGGAGCAGTCCTGGCATCCTTCTGCCCTTGGTAGTCCCATGAAGATTTTGTTCCTTAAGCTCAAGCGCCTCAAGACTGATCTTAAAAACCTCAACATTTATTGCTACAATGATTTACCTTCTTGGGTCAAGGCTAAGAAGCTTGAATTAGAAAAGCAGCAACTTCTTTCTTTAAAGGGTGAAAATTATTTTGATAAAGAACTACAATTACAGAAAGATTTACTTATCCTTGAAGAAGCCGAGCTCATGTTCTTAAAACAAAAAGCAAAGGTTCAATGGATCAAAGAAGGGGACAAATGCACTAAATACTTCCACTCTGCAGTAGATGTTAAGAAAAAGAAGGATACTATCCGAATGCTCATTAATGATCAAGGATTAAGACTTGAAACCTTTGATGCAATGGCTTCCGAAGTGCAAGAATTCTTTATGAATTTAATTGGGAAAGTGGATAACAAAGTTAAAGGTTGTGACCATGAGTTCTTGAAAGACATTTTGAATTATTCAATGCCTTCTGATCTCTCTTCTAACCTTACCAAAGATATCACCACCGAAGAAATCAAAGAAGCAATCTTTGCTCAAGGAAACGACAAAGCCCCGGGGCCGGATGGTTACACTCCATTGTTCTTCAAAAAGGCTTGGACCATAGTTGGAAAGGATGTTTTGGGAGCTGTAAAATATTTTTTTTAGCATTCTTCAATGCTTCCTGCATTCAACGCTACCACTATTTCTCTAATCCCAAAAACTCCAAATCCCAGCAAAGTCAAGGATTTCATGCCTATATCATGCTGCTCAGTCATCTATAAGACCATAACCATGATTTTAGTCCAAAGACTGACCCGTGTCATCCCTCGAATGGTCTCTCTCAATCAAACTGCCTTCATTAAAGGCAGGAGCATTGTAGACAATACACTCTTGGCCCAAGAACTAGTTAAGGGATATGGAAGGAAAGTTATATCCCCAAGATGTACATTAAAGACTAACCTCCAAAAGGCTTTTGACACTCTTCATTGGGGTTTTATATCTGCTGTTTTAAAAGCATTGGACCTCCCTCAAAAATTTATAAACTGGATTGAAGCTTGCTTCACAGGAGCTAGATTATATATCTCCTTCAATTGGAGCCTAATTGGCTACTTCAAAGGAGCAAGAGGCATTCGTCAAAGTGACCCCCTTTCACCCATTCTTTTTGTAATTACCATGAATATTCTTTCCCAAATGTTGAATATGGCTGCTGCTAGAGGCCTCTTTAGTTATCATCCAAATTGTAAGAAAATAAGGCTCACTCACCTTTCATTTGTTGATGACTTGTTGATCTTCTGTAAGGCCAATGTTGAATCTGTCATTGGAGTCATCTCTGTTCTTGATCACTTTTATGAATTGTCTGGATTGAATTTAAATGCTGCTAAGTGTATTTTTTTCTCTGCTGGAATTTCAAAGATGAACATCGAACAGATTAAACAAGCTACTGGTTTTTCCTACTATTGCTTACATGTTCGATACCTTGGTGTTCCACTGACTACTAGAAAACTTTTTGAGAAGGATTGTGACCATATTATTGCTAGTATTAAAGCAAGACTCACTATATGGTCTGCTAAAAACTTGAGTTACGCTGGAAGACTAGAACTCATAAGAGTAGTTTTGTTAAGGATTGCTAATTACTGGTGTAGGCAGCTTCTTCTCCCTCAATCAATAATTAGCAAAATTGAACAACTTTGCTCGAGGTTCTTCTGGAAGGGCTCTGACAAATCTGCATCAGGAGCAAGAGTAAGTTGGACCAAAATTTGTCAGCAAAAATCAGAGGGATGACTTGGACTGAAAAACCTTAAAATCTAGAACAAAGCCTGTATGATTAAGCTCATAAAGAATATACTGGCTGGAGAGGGCTCTTTATGGGTAGCCTGGATTAATTCCTATGTTATACGGGATAATAACTTGTGGCAATTGGTAGGAAATGCAAACTACAGTTGGAGTTTAAACCAAATACTCAAGCTATGAACTGAAGTAACCATAACAATCTTGCATGGTGCTCTTTCTATCAAGGACATTTGGCAGGATATAAGGGTGAAGGAAGAAAAAGTTCCATGGCATTCTTTGATATGGTTTCCACAACATGTCCCCAAACACAGCATGCTAGCCTGGATGACCACCCTCAACAGACTGCCTACTCGCGATCGCCTGCAGCGTATGGGAATTACTACAGATGGGAGTTGCGTGCTATGTAATGAAGCAATGGAAACCAGAAATCATCTATTCTTTGAATGTTCCACTGCTTCTTTCCTATGGAACAAAATTCTGATTTTTAACAGAATTACAAAATCCTGCTCTTCATGGGATGACCTGTTAACCTGGGCTTCCAATACATGGAAAGGCAAGTCTCTCCTTACCACTACTCTCAAGCTTGCTTGGTGTGCCTACATTTACATTCTATGGGAAGAACGTAATCGAAGGATTTTTACACGATGTTCCCGATCCAAAGTTGTTTGTATTAAAGAACTTGTAAGTATTAAGCTTAGAGGGAAAAGAATCAATAGGAATGATAGAGTCAACTCTCATCTCTGTTTTTCATGGGGGATTGACTAACCGATCTGTTTTTTGTATGTAGAATGTATATATTGTATTGAGATCAGGATTTTTTTGTAACAAACTTTGCTTTACTGGGTAATAAAGATGAATTATCCAAAAAAAATAAGTGGAAAGTACGATAAATTAAAAAGTATAAATTAAGAAATAACTGGCTACCGAAAAGTACGTGCAAAGATTGAATAATGATCAAGGTGGTAGAGATTACTAAGGAGTTTTTCTTTAATAACTGAAGTATGCTGTGGTAAAATTGAGATTAATCTATTGCTTGCTAATTTACTAATGTGGACTGTCTTTGTCGATAGCTAGCCCTAGGGTCACCCCCCTTGAAGTCTCTATATGTCTATAAGCTCTTAGTTCAGCAACACTAACAAGATCCAACCTACTGATGCGTGTAAGGCAAGGTCTCTATGTCTAGAGGGTGCACAGAGTATTTGTCGAGTTCTCACTTACATTACTCAATTACGATCAAGCTCCCTTAAACCTACTAGAATTAGGAAAATCTCAAGGTTCACTAAACAATTATCATTGTCTTTGCAAGATTTGAAACATGGAAATCAATTGAGTAAAAAAAGTAATTGAGTAAATATTAAACATTCATCAACATTAAAGAAATAATCTAAACT